GAGTAAGTGCAGGCGCAGCTGGGGAGGGGATGGGGGGGCGAGTGCCTCCCGCGGCGCGGTGTACCCACGGTGGGGTACCGCCGTGGGGCTGGAAGCGGTTCGGTGGTGTGGAAATTGCCAAAAATGGTGACTCCGCCTTGCAAGCGTGTATCCTGTTGCGGAAGTGATTGTATTTTGTTGGTTGAGCCGAAGCGTGGGGTCTCGCGTGCCTCGGCGCGTGCCGCCGGAAAATGCCCTCAGCGCCCCCTGCTAGTGGGGGCCAATTGGGGGGCAAGAAACTGGGTGCTTCCCCCTGCTTGTTTTCGCTTGTGGGAATTGACAAGAAGGATGGATTGACTCATCCGCAACTGTACTGTTACTTTTATTGGCTAATTTTTGACAAAGCATGAGAACAGCCATTTTATAAGAGCTGGCTGGAGGAAAGCGGCAGTTGTTCTCTCTGTATGCGTTTTGGAGAGAGACTCTTGGAATCAAATGAAAAAATCAAAAAAGCAGCTAATGCAAGTATTTTCAGAGGTCATCAGAGCAGCATTTGTAAGTTTCTTAAATTGGACTGTGCCAGTATGAAGTCAGTAATGCAAAGTGTGAAAAAGCAGCATTTCTTCAGGCGTCAAGCCCAATTCCCTGCTGGCGTAAAGTCAGGAATCACATAAATGGCAATGCAGCGTACTTTGGACTTGGCATTTGTAGATACACAGTTTAATATAATTTTCACAAAACTCAGAATTTTAAGTACATTATCTGCTGTGTGAGCAAACGTGGCAATTCCATTTAGCCTTTCAGACTTTGATCGTTTGTTATGTAAGAGTACGATGAATGAAATAATAAAGAACAATATTAATTTTCTGTTTACTTTTGAATATATGACAGATTTAAAAATATCTAATGCCCTTGTTTTCTTGGCTGGACATCTCTATCTTTGCATTAATACTTTTAGATTATATCTGAGAGCTAGGGCTCCCACTTACGTTTTCTTGTAGGTTGTACATGAGAGAGTTGACGAGCAAGATAAAATCTAAGGGGTGTTGTGAAGAGAAAGCTTACCTTTCATTGAACGTCACTAGCATGGTGAAGATCATGAAACCTGACAGAACTGAACTGGGGAATGAATTAGAGTATGCAAATACAAGGACAAAACTGGCATTCATGTCACAGAATGAAGAACGATGCATTTTGGATTTCTGCACCCTGTCTAATTTGGTGTAGAATTAACATAAGCTTAAAATTTAAATTATAGTTCACTCCTCTTGTAGTTGCGCTCTGCGCTTCCTAGAAGACAAGACGCTATGGTGAGGATGGGTTTGAGTCACATGCAGGGGCTTGGTGTGGCTTCTGTGCCTGCTCCGTGTCTCCCGGCTGGGGCACGTGGGAGATGGGAAGCCCGTGGTGTGGAGGGAACCAAGGGAGATGATGCAGCCTCTGCCACTGCCTAACAGCAAACCTTGCTTTTTTTGTCAGCTTTCACTTGCCAACCACTCCTAGCCCTCTGCTCTGAAATACACAACTTATATATCTGCTCAGTGTTGGCTGTAGAAGGATTTTTGGGTTGCAGTTTATATGGGCATGGGGCTTGGAAATTGCAGCCTAAATAGCTGTTCAGTTCCACAAGCTCCATGGTCATCTTGTCATATTCAAAATACTTTTTTTCAGTTCCCTCCAGAGGAGTGGTAAAATCTATGAAATATTTAGATTGGTATATATGTACACTTTAAGTAATTGTGCTGGCAATTTCTGTAGCTGTAGTTGCTGAAGACTTGTTTTAAATAGAATGTTGATTACAAGTCTTTAGTTAGTCCTTCAGGAATACCACGAAACTAACAGAATTGAAACTCTTCAGTAACAAAATCCCCACCATTTAGAAAAATGCTTATATTGGCACTTCCCATTTTTACTAAAAATCCATATTTAGCTTTTTTCCCTTACTTGTAGAATCCTTACCAGTGTAACTTCTTCAGGGATTTTGTATCTGAGCCCCTTTTACTTGAGCTGAAGCTGAGTAAGTTACCACGGCTGTGACCACGACAAGAATAATGGGCGGCTGCTGTAAGTTTCGGCCTTTGCAGCTCAGTAAAGAGTAATCTGTGTATCAACACTTGTTGTTTCAGTTGATCAAACTCTATTAGAATTTTCTTGTTTATGAGAGCCAGTTCGTTTGCCTGCAGCTGAAAAAAGGGTGACTGCACCAGTTCCTGGCCCTTGCCAGGCCCTTGTCCCCCAGCTCCGGCAGAGCTGAAAAAAAAACTGAACCTTGCCTGACTCAGCCCTCAGCTGCTGGAGTTCTGTGGCTAGACATAAAAGCCATGGGAAGGTGAGTGGCAGGGGAGGATTGCCTAAGCTCCTGCGGTTGAAGCTGTTGTCAAATATCTGTTGGTTTTCTTGTGGTTGTGCAAATCCCGTGGGCTGAGGCGTTTGAGAGACCATTGTCACCCCTGGAGAAAGCTCTATCTACGTTTAGAAAACTTGCATGGGTGTAGGGTCTTAGGGTTTTCTTTGTTCACCTTCATAGCGAAGTTAAGCAGATGGTTCTTCATATGATGCCCTTCCTCTTCCGTTAAAGAGGAATAGAAACTATTAAGAAAATTCTTACTGTGTTTTAGGAACACTTCAAGAATGAGTCCACCACAAGATAGAAGTAGAAATTCCTGCAGCAGTGAGCCTCTGGCAAAGTGCCTTCAAGCAAAGAAGGACTTGGAAACAGCTATATCTGGAATTGTCAAAGCTGAACAACAGATTAAAGACAACTGGCGGGAGGTAATTTTAAACTCTTTTAAAAAATGTTTTAATAACTAACATGACTTTGATGACAGTTTTTATTATACTAGAGTACTTTCTATTACGATGATGGCCGGACATTTGTCTAGAGACTTGCAAGCATCTTGCTATATAATTTGGTCATGCTCTTGATAAAGGTATTCCTGTATTATTAGCTTAGGAACACAGAATTTACTAAAGCTGTTGGTTGAAACTTCAAAATAGTGAGAGGTTGTTCTTGGATACTTCTCTAAAGGTAGCCTTGGAACTTTTACTAATGTGAGTTATGTGGTGCTGTGGGTGACTGTGGTTAGTTTTTGAGAAATAAATTGCTCCAAAAATACCACTTCTCTGTGACAAACACTATTTTGTAATCAGCTCAGCCTATGCTTGTTCATGCTGTTTGACAGATGCTCTGGAAATGGTCCATGTTCTCTTACAGGTCAAAGCCAAGATTCACAGCCACATAAGCCGCCACCTGGAATGCCTGCGCAGTCGCGAAGTTTGGCTCTTTGAGCAGGTAGACCTCATTCAGCAGCTGAAAGAAGAGGCGTTGCAGCAGCAGGCGCAGCAGCTCTATTGGGTAAGATTTGGTTGTAAATTGTTGCATTGGCATTTTTAAGTAATTTGGCATTTCTCCTTGCGAGTATTTTCTCAATTTTAATCTTGGAGGCCAAAACAATAACACGTGTTTTGTCTTCCATGCAGTATTTGGGACAATTCAATTGCCTTATCCATCAGCTGGAACGCTCCTATAGTAACGAACTAGCAAACCAGATTTCAGTTTGCCTGGAGAGGTAAATATGTTTTATGATGCAAGTTAACACAATTGGTATTTATTTTGACTTCTGAATTTAATCTGATTTTTTTATTCTAATAGATCTAGTAATAGAACTAACTCACTGTTTCTGCATTTTTAATGGTTCTTAGAAATAAGATCTTTAAAGCAGTCTGAGATAGCATTCCTCTTATCTTTTTTACCGTAGCTTGAAAAAACAGGACTGTAATGAGCAGTGGAGGTACTCATTTGTACAGATTATTTAAAATATTAGTTGTTGATGGTAGTTGAAGTAAGAAGAAGAAGCTGTTCTGTTCTCGATTTGTGGATAGGCATCTCTATTTTTATGCAAGTAATAGAAGTCTTTTTGTTACCTAATTAGTGCTAAGTCAGGTTGGAAGCTTTTTTATGAAATAATGGACTGATTCCCAAACATGACAGACAAAGAAGGTTGTCATCTTTTTCTTTTTTCTTTTTTTTTTTTTCTTTGTTTTCCTTAACTATCATCTTACTCTTTCAGACTGGAAAGTCTTACTCTTAAACCAGAGGAGTCTTCCATCCTGAATTTTGAGGCTGACACATCTTACCTTCGCCAGGCTATTACCTCATTTGGTTCAATTAAAACAATGGTAAGCACCAAAACTTTCCTGGGTTGGAATATTTTAAAAAAAAATTTTTTTTTGAAGCAGTAGTGCAATATATTCCAAGTGATATTTCTACTTTTAGTTATAGCTTGAATGGATCTTGTGCACGGGTCACATAGTTTTAGCTGTATAATATATATGTAGTGGTTTATTAACTATTGCATATAGGTCTGATTTTGACTGAGCTTAGATCTGGTTACATGCATGTTATTTTAATATATTTTGGCAGAGACTGAGGGAATAATTGTATTCTTACTCTATTCCAGTAACTGAAAATAAACGTTACAGTTTTCTTTAGATATTTATCGTTATGCATTGTAGATGGCATTCTGCTATATAAATATTTTGACATTCTTATGTAAACAGTGTATCTCCTGTGTTATCAGAGAGAATTGTCTTAAAGGAAGTAGACTGAAGGTAGTATTTTTATAGTAAATTTTTCCCTGTTCTGTTTTTAAATGTTGAGAGAATTGTTAGCTGCAAAGAACTGACCAGTTGTAACTGTGTTTCGCTTCTGCTCTACAGTAGAATTCATCCTAGAAACTGGACAAAATTGAGATTTAAATTAACTTTTACTTTTCTGTCCTTACAGCAAACCTCAGAGAGAGAGAATACTTCTCCCTGGTTCCCGGGGCAGAACTGTGCCCTAATGAACTGTGAGCAGGTGAGATTAGGCCTTGTATCTGTGAATGTTTAATGGTATTAAAGGGAAAGGACACAAGCACAATATGTTAGCTTGCTTGAGGAATGCCTTCTGTTTGTTTGTTGAGATGTTCGAGTAGCCAGTCATAGTCGCTGTGGTGAGCATCATTGATCTGATGTTATAGCTGCTGCAGAAACAGACGTGCAAGAACATAGTATGAAAGTGAATTCGGAGTGTGACTGTCAGTCAGAATTTTTTAATTGAATATTCCTTGATGTTGTCAAGTCAGCAGTTGGAACTATGCCATTCCTTTTAACGCAGAAATTCATGGGAAGTCTTATGTTGGGTTCTGCACAGAAACAGCATCAATGAAGGAGGGTAGCAAATCAGTAATGGGAATTGTGGTGAGAAGGAAAGTTATGGCTGGTTTATAGAGGGTTTTGGCTGTGTCATGGTTTGACCCCAGCTGGCAACTAAGCACCACCCAGCAGCTCGCTTTCTTTCCCCTGGTGGGATGGGGGAGAGAATCGGAAGGGTAAAAGTGAGAAAATTCATGGGTTGAGATAAAGACAGTTTAATAGGCAGAGCAAAAGCCACGCACAAGCAAAGCAAAACAAGGCATTCATTCACCACTTCCCATGGGCAGGCAGGTGTTCAGCCATCCCCAGGGAAGCAGGGCTCCGTCACACATAACAGTTACTTAGGAAGACAAGCACGTAACTCCAAACGTCCCCCCTTCCTCCTCTTTCCCCCCCAGCTTTATAAGCTGAGCATGACGTCATGTTGTATGGAATATCCCTGTGGCCAGTTGGGGTCAGCTGTCCCGGCTGTGTCCCCTCCCAACTTGTGCACCCCCCGCCTACTGACTGGTGTGGCGGGATGAGGAGCAGGAAGGTTCTTGGTGCTGTGTAAGCACCGCTCAGCAATAACGAAAACATCACTGTGCTATCACACTGTTTCCAGCACAAATCCAATACATAGCCCCATACCAGCTACTGTGAAGAAATTTAACTCTACTCCAGCCCAAACCAGCAGTGTTACACATACCAGAACTGCGCACTGTAGAAATTGTCACTTCCCTTTCTTGCCATTTGCTCTCTGGAGAATCTGGGATCACAAAACAATCTATGAGTGCAGTGGCTTAAAGTCATACAGGCGATTGAAGATGTACTTTTCTCTTAAGTAGAAGGGACTGGTTTTTCTTTTGGTTCAGAAACACTGTTGCACGTTGAATGCCTGTTGTGATGTTCGCCATAGATTGCCTCAGGAATTAAACTTTCTCATAACCAAGTACGTTCTTTCTCAGCAGAAAACGTTGTGTGGGACAGTGAGCGCCTCACTTGCTGACTGGTTACTTGGAAGCAGACCAGCGAGTGTGTGCCAGGCTCCGTATGTTCCCAGCACCAATCTTGAAGAATGGGTTACACAAAAATGTGTGTCAGAGCCCAGCCAGGTAAGCCTCTTACGCGCTAACCTAGTTTTTAATAAAGGGAAAAACCCAGTATCCAGTTGCAGGCGGAATATGGTGGGAATTAAACCTTGTGTAATTCTCTTTGCTCTGCCTCACATTCAACTAATACTTTTGCACTTGCTATCAGAATGCTCCCAGCTGTAACTGTGCAAACAGTTACTGAACATTGTCTTTTAGTGTTAACAGATGCATTTCAATGTGTCTTCACTAGGATTTAAATTCTTCCAAAGTCTGTTATTTTGAGCAAGCCTGGGGAAATCTGAAAGATTTAGAAAACTGGCTCCTGCAGAATCAACAGCGTGATGCTACTGGGAAGATGGACTCTCCCGGCCGCAAGGACTCCACCTCAACTTCCAACTCCTCTTTTTCCACTATTGAAAGGCTGGAGGAACTGGAATCCCTCGGACAAGAAGAGATGGACCTTTCTGACTGGCTGGTTACTCCCAACACAGAAAATGGAAGTAATGCTTCAGAGGAGAGATGGAAGTATGAATTTAAGCCTTTTAGGGAAGAATTTAATTTCAATGATTGGCTCCTCAAAGCTGAAACGTGCACCAGTTGTCGTGGCAGCCAGATCAAAAGTGTTGAAATTGAGAACCTGGGAAATCTGAAGTGCCTGAATGAGCATCTTGATGGAAAGAAATCACCCACTACATCTGCTGTCAACGCTTGGCTGCTTCAGCATCCCCAGGCCCCATTTAAGGTGGAAGATGTGTGCAAAGCTAATGAGGTGTGTGCCAGCCTTTCAGAATGCGTGTGTGATGAAAACTGTGGAAAAGAGGCTCTGTGTAAATGGCTTCTGAAGAAAGAAGGGAAGGATAAAAATGGAGTTCCAGTCGGCCAGAAAGATGTACCAAACCCTGAGCATGAGAAGACCAAGTCTACTGCCGGTAGCTGGCTTAACCCCACACAGCAGCTTACAGGGGAACCCGTTAGTGCAGAGAAAGCAGATTATTCGGCAGAGATCGCAGAACCCTTGAAAGTATTGCTCGAAAGGCCTCTGACGAGCTGGCTAGCCAAGTCTGAGCACAAAGCAGAAAGCACAGAAGAAAAATCAAGTAGGGAAAAAGCAGATAATAGTGTCAAGAGTCCTTTCCTAGACCTCTTGGCTCCGTTCCACCTCCCCTTGAATGTAAACAGTTGGGTGTTGGCTTCAAACAACCTAGAAAATGCTAACCTGCCTCCAGCAGAAGATAAATGGCTTCTACGCAAGAAAGCACAAGTGAGCATGTTCCTCAGTTTTTGTTACTGCTGGGTCTTAAGCCAATGCGCCGGGTTTACTGTTTTACTGAATGTAATGCCTGCCTTCTCTTCCAAATTCATAGCTCTTCTGGGTAATGCTGACTGACAATTTTTAGGTTTCTTAGCTCTTTTAATGTTTTCAGTGATTATTACTTAGTTACTTAAGTAGATGAGGCCAGCATTTAACGCAAACCAAGTTAACATGTTTTACTAAATGAAGAAAGCATTCATCTCAAAGACTCAGAAGTCAGTTTTATTTTCTTTTTGAACACTTGACAGAATTTGAAGATGCATCAGTATTTATTCATGTTTGGAGATCAGTAATTAAGGTGACTTCTCTTTCAGGACTTTGGCCTTCCTACAGTTTGTGACCTTTTTGCTTGTATGAAACTCAATGGAGATAAAGAAAAATGGCTGTATCGGACTCCTTTACAGGTAGGGTGCACAGAACGTGTTAGAACGGCTGAGCCTAAGCATAAGTCAGGGGTACGGAACGCAGATGCTGGCAGCTAACTGTCATCTTCAGAGGTCGCTGAATGCAGTGTAGCATTGTGATTTCCTCCCCATATACCTTTTTAACAGCTTTGCACCATTCTACTTTTTCATTATTCCTCCTCTTTTGAGCACAAGCCAGGGAGGGAATTACTTAGGTTCTTGAGTAAATCACTCTTCAGCTGATTGACACATGGTAAAATCTTGGTAACTTCTACTGTAACTAGAACATGCAATTAATGTCTAAATTTCCAGGCAGCTTCTTTCTTATCTTGTTTATGCATTTACAGCTGATGTCATGTTTTTCCTTTCTGCCGAGGTAACTCTTTATCATCGTTTTTGAAATTCATTAAAAAAGTCCTTAGCAGGCGTATTTCAACCCCTAAAAGGCAAGATACTCAGTTCTAGGAAATATTTTAGTATGATTTTTTTTTCCTATGGTGTCTTACACATTTTTTTTTCCAAAAGTATTGCTTTCTGTTTATCAAAGAGAATAACCCAATTTTGAATTTGTTTAGATGTGAAGAACTGGAAGCATCGAAATCATCCCCTCCCTGCTGATCAATCGCACATCACGCTGAGTGACTGCAGCCAGCTGAATTCTTGTGTTTGTGTTTGGCCATCTGCTTTTTCTTCTAAAATTATAACAAAAAGAAAGATTACTCATATAACAGAGTTATGGTGCAGAAGATGCCTTTTTGTTATGATTAATTCTGAAATGTAAACCCACTGAGCATAAGCAATCCGATACTATAGGGGCGTTAGTAAATTCGTATCTGTTATGGGACTACGTGAATCTTCTTCAGTGGGTTGTCACTTGAAGTATGTTGAAGCCAGTGCAAGTATAAAGCGAAATCTCTCTGGTGCTGTGAAACGTCCACCTTTGGCAGTGACTCTAGAAGTGTTGCCTTTCCTCTCAGCTGCGACAACTTTGTCGTGAGTTGGGTTCCAGCTTACTGGGATTGTGGGATAACTTAGGCTGTATTTGGAAGCAGTTTCTTTTATTGAACAGTTGCTAACTTTAGAGGTTTCATTTGCATCTTGTATTGGTGCGCCTGTGTAGTCCAGATTTTGAAAAAGACATGAATTCATGGGACCTGACGTGTGACAGGAGAACTGGTAATTTTGTTTTGAATGAAAACTTTTCATGCAAACTTTTAAGCCGTTCAGACAGGGTAGAACAGGGTAGGGTGTTAATTTTCATGCATCAGTAGGTCAGATCCTACCGTGTCCCCAGCTTTTAATAACTATTTGAATTTCGCTGAAAAAGCTGTGAGATGAAATGTGTACGTTTCTGCTAGGTTGTGATAATTCATAATGAACTTTTATTGACTAAACCACTGGAAAGCCGGCATCTTAGCCACGTAATATTTAAAGGTAATATTTGGGGAATTAGATGTCTTCGCATCAGACTGGTGTCATGCTGTTTAATTGGGAAACACTAACCTGGCAAACTGTGTGGCTCCCACTGATCCATTTTAAACATATTTAGGCTGTGGATTTCCATAATTATTATCCATATGGAAGTGGGGTCGAATAACTCTGATCCCTATAGCTGTGGACATAATATGAGCAATACCTCTTTAGGTATTTACCATTTTGAGCCCATAAGGAGTGCTGAGACGTTAGATGGAAATGTGGATCACGCCTGTCAGGCTGCATGAAAAACTGTGAAGTTACATAGTTTCTGGTGCAGCTTCTACTCACTTAAAAAATTGTTCCTAATGACTATAAAAATAACCTCCCCTTCTCCCCATCCCTGCAGCCTGCCTGGGAATAAAAGTGATTTCAGTTCTTCACAACGCTGTAGAAAATAAATTATTAGCAAGATCCAACCTTGGTATCACTTCGCAGTGTGAAGACATTCCCCATCTGGTAGAACCTGTGCATTTGGTTAAAAAATAAGTTTTCAGTCTGCGAGGGGGACACTGCACATCTGAAACCAGACCCTGAAAGGGCTTAACATCAGTGGACCACTTGAGGCTTTCGTACTTTCGTAGTTGAGGCTTTCTCCTGGAAGCAGCAATATGTTTTTTGAAGTTCACTTTCCCCTTTGAACAGGTCCTTGTTGCTGCATGGGCAGACTGCACTGTGACTAACTCCAATAATAGCCTAATTTGATTAGAAGTTGAACTTACATGAAGGTGATTGACGTGCAGCCCACCTCTTATAATTCCTTGTAGTTGTCATTGTGTGCTACTTTGTCAGTTCATTATGAGCCTTTAAAACTTGGGGGTATGTATTCCTTTACTTACTCTACTGACTTGTTATCACTAATTGATATTTATGTAAAACATTGATTAGTCTTTTCCATTAAAAAATAATTGCAACCATAGGTGTGCTACGTCTCCTTTGCAAGGCAGTTAACAAAAAATGCTGCGGCACGTTGCCTGGTTGACTTCTGTTGGGGTGCCGCTGCAGCTGTGCTTCCTCTCCGGCTCTTCTGCTCTCTGGGTTTTCGAACGTCAGACTCCTTGTATGTTTTGTTCCTCCTCTGAGGATTTTCCATTCCTTTAAACTCCAGGCTCCATTGTAGCATTAAGAGAACATTCTCATCGTGCAGCTGGGCCTGGCAGCCTTTCAACCACGACACCCTGAATTTCTCATGTGGGTGTGGATACGCACAGTTTTTATAAATGGACTAGAGGTTCTTTGTTAGAAGCAGCCACATGCAGACCTGAACTCGTGCCCTGACTGTTTAGCTTTCAAAGACAGGGAAAAAAACACTTAAGGTCTTCCAAAGATAAGGAAGACACAGTAGCAGGAGCTGAAAATGCTATTCATGGCTTCTCAAACACTTGGAGACCTTTCTTGGAACAATCTGAGATTATCAGATTGATGCCCTGTACTGAGGAATGCTTAATTCCATTTCCCTCCCTGTGGGCAGCTACCTCCCACTTCTCCCTCAGCTGAGTTTCTGTAACAAATGAATCCTCCTAACTTGCTTCTACATGAAATAACTGAAACGCTTTGCGGCCACATAATGTATGTTTTGGTGAAGGTAGGGAGCTTTACGGCTAGAGCGTGCCTGGCGAAGGCCTGTCGCACCGCTGCCCCCGACAGCTGCTGGGGGCAGCAAGGGAAGGTGCCCCAGACGGCACAGGGAGGAGAGCGGGGAAGGCCAGCGCTTGGCAGGTGGCTACTGGGGGCAGCAGCGTGGGCTGCGGTACTGCCCCTTCCTCTACCAGAGGCAGGCCGAGCCACGGGAAACCCTTCACCAAGGCGCAAGTCGATGCTGGTGCAGAGCCCTGCAAGCACCGGGGCAGGAGGGGGCGAGTGGCAGCAGCGGTTCCTTCCCTGCCCAGAGCAGGGCTGCTCGCTGGGCTGCCGGGGCACCAGACCCTGAGTCTGCTGGCCCAAACCTGCTGTGGCACAAGCCCGGCTGCTGTCTCAGGGCAGGGAGAGAGGGTGGCTGGCAGCGAGGGAAGAGATACCCAAGGGGAACACAAGACGGGTGTTATTGGTGCTGCGAAAGTACCAAGAAAAGGCAGTAGTACCATTTGGCGTCACTGCGGTGTCTGGCGTGCAACAGCACAGGCCAATACTCACACCATACACAAAGCTCCACTTCAAACATACCCTAACTGTCTAGAATTTATTATGCACAGGGGTAACCTGCTGTTAAAGCATAAAAAAATGACACACACCCCCTTTTTCAGTCCCAGATTAGGGACTGGAACACTGGATCATTTTTCTGCCCTAACATACGTTTCCCTCCTGTTTTTGGAAGCAGCTTCTGCTTCATGGAGGAAGCTGAAGATTCCTACCACATGACTAGTGATTTTTCAACAAATTCCCCCAACTGTAAGAGAAGTCACCTGCTGGCAGGGAATGGTGAAATTGCCTTTCTCCGTTCCCAAGACTAAACAAAAGCAGCTTCACAAGATTCAAAAAGCTTTCATTATACCTGTTACCTCAGACTCCCTCACTTGCTGCCGCAGCTGTCTTGGCTCTAGCAGCAAAACTAGATGCCGTGACTGGCACTGCAAGGGGATAAAACACCGCTCTTCAAGCCGGCCAAGGTCTCCCATGCTCCCATTTATGTAACACTGCATGGGAGGACTGTAAGGGCCTTACCAGATCCTGTTTGCAACTTGATTTTCCTTCCTTTTATTCCTACCAAACTTGGGTATGCTTTTGGTCACAGCTTTAAGTAGCAACTTTATACAGATTATTCGCCATTAAATTGTGACTGCAGTAGGTCTTGACACAGAACATCATAAAGTCGTTCTCTGTGTTCCACACTTGGAATGCGCATCCCTCCCTGCTGCCTCCATGCTGCTGTATTTCATAGCTCAAGCTACGGAGCACTCCATATACAAACAGGTTATGAACCAGAGCTTTTACCAGCCCCAGAAACACAGCTATTTCAGAAAAATGCACTCAGCTCTGCTCCTGAGGTAAGCAATTCCAGGAAATGTGAGGTTATCACAGACCAGATAACGCGCTAAGTTGTCTCAGGAGTCAGCCTCGCCTTAAGGTTGTGGAAACTCTGAGCTTACAAAAAGCTTGTTTCTACATGATCTCCAGTGCACCTAAAGGAGGAAAAAACATTAGTTGAGCTTCACAGCTTTCCCACTTCAATTAGGGGCAGAGAGCTCCTGGGTCATATTTCAGTCCTGAAAAAGTCTCTAGAAAACCTAAAAGATACACCGCAAAGTTCCTGACACTTAAAAAGCAACCCTCGGTGGCCATCAGCCCCCAAAGCAGCTATCAATCCTTCATCCACCATTGTCAAGCCTGTAGGAGTGTGAGTCCTATTAACTGTGACCAAGAAACATGGACAGGGAGGAACTCACCAATTCCAACAGGGAGAGAAAAGGCAGCTCAGGAAGCAAGCACACACGTTTTCCTGATATCCCATGTGGCAGCGCTGCACAGCCAATGCCAACGTCACCTTTCTGCAGCCTGCGAGCAGGGGACAGTTTATTTGGTGGTACAGCCCTTGAAAAATGCATGCTAGAAGGTCCAGCTCTAACACCACAACAGTAACACACAGCCCACCAAAGACAGTGGAACATAAGGCTTAACAAGAAACCGCATTTACAAACTGGGTGAGAAAAAGCCTGGTTTCTTTCCTTTGTGCTACATCTAGTCAAGTGCTGGGAAAAAGCATCTGCTGTGACTTGGTATGCAAGCACAGCTAATTGAGTTCAACTGTGAAGGCTCGTTAGCTACAGCACTTGCTCTATAAAACGCTAGTCTCAGAGGTCACCTCCTCCTATAGAGGCTTCTTAGTAAAGCTGTGTTTCTTCTCAGAGGAAGGTAAGAGCTCCCCCCTTCCCTCTACTGCCTTTTTTGTTGTCTTTATTTTGTTGGGTGCAATGTAGTTATCGAGCTGTTTCAGCAGGGAAAATGCAAAGTAAACTCTTGTTTCACATTAAGTTGTCTACTGAGCAGTAATTTCTTGTTTTTCCCTTATCCTGCCTCCACGCTGTCTCAGACCTGTTTAATTATTTACCTGTTTAATTATTTAAGAACTGAAGGAATGAGCTGTTATACAGTAACTCTAATTACTGAACTAATTCACAACTTGCTGTTTAATTTATGTGTAAACAATGCTTGGTACACGGTTTAATTTTAACACTGAAGAAGGCACAGGTTCATCGTATCTCTTCATTCTGCCAATAACCTACAAACATTACTGGGGGTGAGGCAAGCTTGTCACTAATTAAAAATCCTGTAATAGGCAATGAGAGGAGTATTTATACTGGTTAGTTTCTAACTGTTGGCTAAACAAGTTCTGAGATCCAATGGCAGCTGTTCTGCATCAGCAACTGTACCTCACCCAGAAACAACCAGTT